TACCGTTGAGCGCACTACATCGCGCACTAGCCGCTCGTCACCAACTGTAGTCATCGCTCTCGCAGCCGTCGTGGCCCGGCTTCGCCCGCTGCCATGGTCGTCTTCGCGTCCAGAGCAAACGCGTCCGCGACTCTCGTCCGCCCCGCAGAACAGCCGCGAGAACTGTGTAGAGGTGACCAGTGGCCATCATTATCTGCATCACCACCCACTCGCATACCCCCCCGCACATCCCCTCGTCTTGTCCGATGCCTTTTTTTTCTTTAAAATTGTTATATATTTTTTTTTACAACCTAAGTTGTATTGTATCTCATTTTTTCGGCATAATTATTATCAAAATTGTTTAAAAAATTTTCAACAAATTATATGATGTAATAAAATTATTCTGTTAACCCAGTAAAATGTTGTTTATTGTTTTTAGCATTAAAGAGTACGTTTTTATTTATATCAACATAATAATGGCCCACTGAACATGATCATGTTCACGTGCAGGGAGGGTGGGGTCCACTGGGGCACCATATAGAACATTAACAAACAATTTTTTTGTTATGTACAAAATCTCAATAAAATAGTATATTGTAGCCTGAAAGTTTTGGCCACTTGAATGTATATCAATATGTTTAACGGTGTGGCGGTGTGGTGACATTTTTTCTGTGTAAAGACATAACACTTTTAAAATATTTTGAATCTTTTTGAGTTTTTTATAGTCGATTAAAATTTAAATATTTATTTTATAAATATCGACAAAAAATTGTTTTTTACTGTCAAAAAGCTTGTCAATTTAATACAAGGTCCCTCGTTATGAATCTGTCTTGTTAGAATATGAGATGTGTATTATAAATTATTTATTTTTCAAATGTACAACAGCCAATAGGTATTTAATATATTATTATAGTTCGAATAGTTTCAACTTTCAAGTATTTTTTTAATAACGGTAACACGGAACTCTGTATAGGCTATTTAGCTACGTTACTGTTGCAAGTGTATTTTTGTATAATTTGGCAATAATTCATAATATTAATATATTGCTTTCAGTTTAATCGTTGTATACGTCTTGTGACTTTCCACCCCATTTTAGTTATCAGAGATTGATCCACAATAACTGTCTTGGGCTGCCACTGTATATATTTATATATTAATATAATAATAATTTATTATTATATTGATTATGTCGAGTTGACGAGTTGCTGGAATAACGGACACATCCATTGTGATGGGTATTCTTAATGTTTTTTTTTCGTATTTTATTGGTATTATAATATTAGTTCTTAATGCCTTACCTACGTTTTAATGTTTGTTTTAAAATCCAAACGGTAGTGTTTAATTAACCACGTTGTCTGATTTCAGTATACCTATATACCTACGTTATAGCCCCCTATAAAGTAGAAGTTTAACGTATAGGGCACACGCCCGAACAACACATAATTGCTTGCAAACATTATTTGCTATCCTTTGCTTATTTAAGTTTCTATACCAGATGTTCGTGAGCGAATTACTAATAAATTATTGTGTACCCTTAGAAACCGTGGATATTATTCACATTATGCATAATTAAATTGATAAATGTTTCATGCAATCATGCACGGGAACTACGAGAAACGAGGCAAGACTGACGAGTGACGACTATAATAATATAATATCTGTAAAGCCATTACCCGCGGCAGACTCGAACAATAATTACAAAATTTGAAATGTAATATACTGTACAGGTACCGGTAATAAAAGTCAACTATGGGAAACTTCTTACATAATTAATCAGCGTTTAAAAAATAAAAAAAGGTTGGCAAGTGGGTGTCGCTCTGCTGTACAGTAGGTTACAAGTGGGTCACTGTATAATGGATGGTAGGTATTACATTTGAATTCAATGTTATTATATCATTGTATAAGAAAAACGATTCTGAGCGGAGACGGTATGTCTGTCTAGGTTTACGACATATTGTATATCTATGGAATTAAAAAAAAATTGACATATAATAGGTAGGTACCTATGATAAATTCTAAATTAATCATATCACAATATCCATTAGGTACTTATAACGCGTTATACATCAACAACAAACCCTGATACTATCATAGATATATAATAGTGTACTTTAGAAATTTCAAGTACCCATGAATAATATTATACAATCATAACAAAATAACTAAAATAGTTATTCTAGGTTTTTTAATTTGTAATTTCGTCCAAATTTGAACTTAAAATGACTATAAGAATAAACTGTGTTTGTATATTTTTTAGATTTTTTGGTTACAGAATGTCAGAATGAACTATGTATGAGTACCCTTGGTTTTAAATTTGCAATCCTATTAGCTATAAAAACTGAACATTTTATAATTTATTAATTACAATTATTGATAATTTTCGAGATTTTGATAAATTTTGTCAAAATTCGATCTATAAATGCTTATAAAAAAAATTGTGCCTATTTATTTTTTAATATTTTTCAATTGCTATTGTAACAATATATCAGGAGCCTTGAATTAAATTTTTACACTTTTTGACCCAACAGATAAAATTTTATTGATATTTATAGAAAAAAAAAACTAAAAAAATTGAAAAATTAAAATGTCCGTTAACAGCTCAAAAAGAGTCAAAATATTTTCATAATTGTATGGTGTATAGCCGTATAGGAAATGCTAATATAAACATTCAGTGAAATTTCCATGTATCTACAGTTATTCGTTTTTGAATTACAACAAAATAAGGAAATCGCTACATGAGAAATCGAGTGAATATCCTGTTGTAAAAATTTGAATTTAAAACGCTCATAAAAATTTAATTTGACTTTCTTATAGACATTTTTTTTTTTGATAAAGGTAGACAAACTTATGACTGTTATGAGGAATCTTGTATTACATTTTAAAACCTTGGATTTAAAAAGAAAAATTTTTACGAATTTGTAACTCAAAATAATTTACCAATTTTCGTGATTTTTCCATATTTTGTCAATTTATGAACTTTAAATGCTTAGAAGAAAAAAACTGTGACTAAGGATTTTTAATATTTTTCATCTGCCTTTGAAACAATATACTAGGAGCCTTCTATTAAATTTTCAAGCTTTTTCAGCCAATAAATAAAATTTAACTGATATCTTTAGAAAAAAAACTAAAAAAAAATGGAAAATGAAAATGTCCCTAAATAAACAACTACTTATTGGTCTCCTTCATTCTCTTTTCTTCTAAGGTAAAATTATCCTGGGGTAAGATTTTCCTGCTACACCTGGGCTAACGCGGCGGAATACGCCTTGTATAACCCCGGCTTTAGAGTTTTACTTTTTTTTTTTACTAGGTCCCCTCGTCAACCCGTGATAATGTACTTCGTTCCAATAATATAGAATAAATATTAAAAATTACCAAAATCTTTTTTTTAGACATTATTTTGTATGGTGACATGGGATGAGGGCACACAATATATTACCTATTGCTTATTGTCAGGTAAAATCGTATGAATTCCAATATAATTATTATACTTTAATATTATACAGGGGTCATAAATTATTTATAATGATAGCTCCTATTATTATTAAATATTATATTAATTGTGATCCATAGGCGTGCGCACGGGGGCAGCATATGCTGCTCCTGGACTTTCTTTGGGGCCACCGGGGCCGGCAAATATTAAATAGTGGGCCTCGGTAAAATTATATTTCCACAAAAATTTTTTTTTGTTTTGATAAACTATAGATGAATATTTTATATAGGCTTGTAGAAAAGTACACCTTTAGTGTCTTAGTACCTTACTATACAACCTTTTATTCAAAAAAACAAATAACCAATACAATTTTAATTTTGATATCCAATAGTAAAAAAAGTAAAACTATGGGCTGGTTTTAATGGTGAATTTGAAAAATGGGCCGAATTAATCTCTTGCTGCCCCTGAAACCGGAGGCTGCGCACGCCTATGTTGTGATCATAGAAATAAAATACAGTTGAAATTACCGCATTAAGCCCGACCCTTATAAATTTGTGAGTAATTCACATTATAGTATAACTATTGAGAAAATCGAAAAATGACCTTTCCAAAGTATCATCTTAATCCAATTTGTTAAAAGATAAGGTACTAAATGTTGAAATCGAAGCATTCCTTCTGGTAGAAATTTTGTATACAGGATAAAAAAAAAAAATTTTAAAAAATACACCATTATTGTAAGACTCTAGATCCGTTCAGAATCTAAAATAGTTAAAAATGTATAAAATGTTTAACTTTTATAGGAAAATTAAAAACAAGTTAGTCATTTTTGACTAGATATAATTTTCTACCAGACACTACACTCAAAAATGAAAATCTAAGCATTTTTACCGTCTTAAAAATTGATGACAGACACAAACATAAAAATAAAAGTAAACACGTGATTGTAATTTAAATACATCTATCGTTCTGAGCTCTAATCTAAAAAATAGTAGGTTAAATACTTAATTAATGCTTTTGAGTTTTTGTGCATGTGTTCATTTTTTTCCATAAGTGTTCCTCACAGTCAAGTATGACCCATATAGAATAATAATAGCCAATAGGTTAGACTCTGGTAGTCCGGTTATTGTCCTATGGTTATAGGTAGATAAAACAGAATTTAGAGGTCCACCACGACTGGTATGGACCATAACGCAAGATCAAAATAGTATTTCGATAACGATTTATCAGGGGTAACTATTATCACAGAATAAAATGCTATTATCATTGTGTACTCTTTTTTTAATGTAAGCTGATGCCTGATAGTAAATAGTGATAGGAATATAGGATTTGAGTGTTTGGGTTCGACACTTCGACTTAGATGTTGAAACAAAACTGTATACCATTGTACAGGAGTGTCAGGAGTCCGTTCCACATTCATACGAATTACGTTTTACTGTAGAACGTATACTTTTTGTTACTTAGATTGTAACCCTAATAAACTCGACTAAAAGAGAAGAAAAAACATCATCAATCGGTTGGTGCTCAAGACATGCGAAAGAAAAAACACTAATATAGTCAATATAGACTCATAGTCAGATACTTGCAGCTCACCATGTCTCATATTGGTAAATTCGGACTACACGGAGGAAACTTTAAGAAACCGCCTCAGCGAAAAACTAGGTATGTGTACGAAGTGTAAAACAAAATGTAGTTGCATTTGTATTACCTACTGTATTAATAATGGGCCTGCTTGTTTGTTTAGATTGAACCGTTCATATGAAGAGTTGACTCCTATATCTTGGAGTGAGTATTTTGAACACAAACGCTTTGTTGACATTGATGGTAACAAGTTTGCGACCTACTCACTGGGCAATGCTGAATCCGTGCTGATTGTCTTGCTCCACGGCGGGGGGTTTAATGCTCTCACATGGTCTCTTTTCGCTGTGAGTATCACCATAATGTAGTGATGTAATATCAGTTTGGTAGTTACTAGTGTTAGCGTACCTAATATCTTGTCAGGATTAGTAGGTTTAAGAAGAAAATAATAATAAAACAATAACAATATTCATTTAATCGCAGTATATTATTGAAAACAAATTAATAAATATCATTAAAAAACATTACGTCGCATTGTTACTATCACTAGTTGTCAATTGATACTAGTTGTATGAAATTATATTTCCGTTTTTTGGCGCACGGTGTTGTAATATACTATGTAGTTATATACGTAAGCATTAAGCATTGCAAACATAATATTCATGTAGTCTCTAAATTTTTAATCTTTGATTTTGTAAACACTTTAGTTAATATAATGTGAGTTCATTAAAACCTACCTAATTTGAAAAATTAACCCACCTAATCATATTTCAAACAGTCGTAACTCGGTTTCTTTAATTTTTAGATTTACGATATTAGTAATTGAAAACACATGACACAATTCAATGTAATCCTTTGAACTATTAAATTATTTTCCATCTCAAACAAGAAACCAATTTTGTTCCATGACCCAAACTTATTCAGATATTAACATGTTTTATAATTATTTTATATTTTATTTTATAATTTATTGTAATTTCAAATTACATTATGAATGTTATTGCTTTGATACAATATTATGATTTTAAATTAAATAGTGTTTAAGTATCTCAAATGTTATATTGTAAATTAAATCATTTTTTTTAGAAACATTTAGTAAAACAATGTGAATGCCAAGTTTTAGCAGTTGATCTTCGCGGGCATGGGAATTCATTTACAACAGATGATAATGATTTATCTATGACAACTTTTACTAGGTATACTATTTTAATACATTTAAATTTTTATACTGAATATTTTAACTGAATTATTAAAATGTATTGCAGCGATATCATAAGTTTATTACGTAAATCATATCCAGACAAAATGCCATCAATAGTTTTAATGGGCCATAGTCTTGGAGGAGCTATTGCTGTAAATATTGCTTCTACAGCAGAATCAGATCTGCCTATTATTGGTTTGGTTGTTATCGATGTAGTTGAAGGTTCAGCAATGGAATCATTAGCTAGTATGCAAAGTTTTTTGAGGAGTCGTCCAAAATTGTTTAAAAGTTTAATGGATGCTATTTCATGGGGGTATGTATATAATATATTATGTTTAAGACTTAGATTTAAAGTTACAGCTTAAGTATTTAACTAATTAATAGTTACACCAAAAACTATAAAGTATGTTGAAATTTATATCAGAACTCCAATTTTAATAATAATTGGTCGAACTTTTTAAAATTATTTTATAGTAAAAATAACAATACTATTTAATATAGGTATCTGTACACATTTTCAAAAGTTATTGATAGAAAGTTCCATGTTTTTAGTGTTAATTAAATGTATTTTTTTACTGTTTGCAAATTTAGAATGGGAAATGGTCATATAAAAAACGAAGAATCTGCCAGAGTTTCCATTCCAGGACAGATAAAAAAGTAATTTTATAATTATTCATCAAACTGTTTTTTAAATTTTAAACATTGTTAATTGTTTTGGTTTTAGTATTGCCACTGGTAAACTTGGTACGGACGAATTTGAAGAACCAACAATTGAGACTCCAGTATTAACAGAAGCTATTTCAGAACCTCAATATTCAATAGATTCTATTATAGAAGATGAAGAGTGTGGTGCATCTTCATTTTCTGTGAGTATACCCATTGATTAAAAATACTATACATCGCTCAGTACTGTAAGAAATATGCTGTGCCGATTTACTATCGATCCTGGTGTTATACGCCAGAAACTGACTAGGCAGCCTATTTATAACCTGGCCACCTGGTCAGTTTCTGGCTTATAACACCAGGATCGCCAGAATATTTTGTACCTCAATGAGCGATCAATAGTATTTATAATCAATGGAATAACCTATGTAGTCACCTACTAATATTATAATATGACTATATGAGTATGTTAATTTATATCTTATGTTTTCCAGAATGAAAAATCATTGGGCAATTATACATGGAGAATTGATTTGTGTAAGACAGAAAAACATTGGCCAGGATGGTTTCAAGGACTTTCAAAAAAATTCTTATCTATACATGCTCAAAAATTATTATTACTGGCTAACATTGATCGTATGGACAAAGATTTGACTGTTGGTCAAATGCAAGGTAACATAATATTATTATTATTTTTTTATTATTGGTCATGAGCCCAGCAACTATGGCCATTAGCTATTGTAGGGATTATGTTTGGTATGTTTGTTGGTTGGCAATACGTGTATGTGTGGCAAAGATTTTGTCACTATGGACCCCGGTAGTCATCCATTCGGGAACTAGTGCAGCGACCGTTGTTTACTCTCAATCACATTGGGTGATTGATTTTAGCCACTGCGCCCCGCCGAATCAATAGCATACTAATGTATTAATAAATAATTGCACATAGTAGGAGTGAATTAAATGCATTGATGAGTATTATTCTGAATTGTTCATAAATCAAAAAATATTATATTTTATTTTTCATTTTTAGGTAAATTTGAAATGCAAGTGTTAACTAGAGTTGGACATGCTGTACAAGAAGATGATCCAGAAAAAGTCGCAAGTATCTTGTCAAATTTTTTGGTACGAAACAAATTTGCTAATCCAACAGGCGATTTTGTTCGGTAAGTAAAATTATTTGTTTAAATTTGAAATATTTTGGAAATATGGTGATGGTACATGCATTTTTTAAAAATATTCAATAAAAATAAACTAAAATAAATAATTAGGTACATTTTTGAATGGTTACAAGAGTGCAGATAAAAGTTAATGAAAAGGTTAGATTGTGTATCATACATTTGCATAACAATTCATTAATGCAAATAGGCAGCAATTAATTACAATTTATAAAATGAACATAAATAAAAAATAATGTCTATGTATGACAGTTTTTTGAAATTTTTTTTTTCATTTGGACGATATTGTGTTAATAAAATAGTCTAGGATGGATGTGGATAGAAGTGACTAATACAATCAAACATACATTTTTTATAATATTTATATTAAACGTTGATTTGATATCAATGTTGTATTCAATATACTTTCAAATGTGTGTTGCAGTATTCTTCCTGGCTGTTAAGCCATGTTCATCAAGTATTCAGCTGACCAATGGCCTCCTCAAATGAATAAAGTTATTGGGTATGTCAATTTAAGAGTTAGACATATTTATATATTTTTAATACAAATGCTTATAACTATAACAAAAACATTGAATTATATAAACAATTATTAAAAATGACAAACATATAATTGGATGTATAAACTGTATCCTATTAATAATTAATACTGTACTTATGAAAAAACAAGCATGTGTAATTTATTTTCCTATGCAGTTTACAATAATCTGTATTTTTATACATATAAAATTTGATTTTGTTAAGTGTTCTTAATAAAATTTATTTGTGTTATATTTCTTTTGAAATTTTTTTTCATTAGTCATCTATGAAAAAATTTAATTTAATTTAAGTATCTATTATAAATATTTATGTATTAAAAAAACAAACAAGTTACTCAAGTTATTAAAAAGAGACAAACATTTAATAAAATAAAACTTAATTTAAACTAGACTTTATTATTAATTAGGAGTTTTAATTTCATGTTTCAAACAGATTTTGAATGCATCCCATCCTTCATTTTTTGTGTATGACTATAACAAAGCATTAACATAAATTATTAAAATACATATTTTAATTTCAAATACTATAGAATAGTTTTACATATTAATATTTACAAAAAAAATATGTTATGGATTTATCTAATAAAAATTTGTCACAAGTCATTGACAAAAGTACCTAAAAGGAATTAATTTAATGTTCATATTTTAAAAAGAATCACAACAGTAGAATGAAATCCTATAGCAAATTAGTACCTTGAATCCTCTGTTTAGCCGGTCCTTCATAATAGCAATAAACTCTCTATAACTCAATTGACCATCACCGTCCTCGTCAAATATGGCAAACACGGTATGCACAAGGTGCTTGCTCAAACTGGTCCCTGTACATATCTTAACAGCTCTATGAAATTCATCTGTAAAGTAAAGTAGGTAAATTAAAATATTATTATAATGGCTAAAATAAAAATATACCAATGAACAATGGAGTTCTTACATATAAATGTTAAACAGTGTTAAACAATTGGAATTTAGCTGAGTTTCTTAAGTAAATAAATGATTGATAGGTAACATTATTTTTTAAACTGTAATAATTATGTAAAAACTCATATTTTCTAGTGTTCAATTAGGTACAATTCACAATAATATAAGATTTAATTTTTACAAAGTAAAAATCTATAAATCTATACGATCTATGGACAATTTTCTGCAGAGATCAAATTTTTTTCCAAAATCAAAATTAACTTTAATTTTGTCAAAACTTAAGGTATTTTGAGTTTTGAGCTAAAATTGACGGCAGTAGCAGGCCCTTAAGTGATTTCCAGCCCCTCTGTATTTTCTATTTTGTATTAGTTGCTTATGCCGTTCAGATACTAATATTTTATTAATTAATTAGTTATTACCTTTAGATATTGGGTGATCGGCCAGTGTATACATTCTCATAGCAATAGTAAAGTCTTCCAAATTATTTAAGAATTGACAAAACACTTTAAACTCATCAAACGAAATGCCTGGTGGTATGCCTTTGTCCATTTTGATTCTCTCCAATAATCGGTCCAGATATGTATCGCACCTATTGTTAATATACATTTCCAAATTTTAAAAGACATTAAGAGTGTATAAGATAAATTTAAATAGCTTACAGATCAGTATCCAAGTGAGTATATCTCAATAATATTTTGGCAAAATCCATTTCGCTTATGGTATCTCCTCCTTTGGCAAACTGTTGGAACTCCATTTCAAGTACTTCAGTTTGTAGATTTTCCATAAAACTAACAAAAAAGTATCAAAATACTAGGACGATACCAATCTAATTTGTCATGGTCTAATCACTCTAATGTACCTAACCTACTTCTATCTACGAGTAAAACGAATTTAAACGGTTTAAAGCCTCTCATCCATGACCATGAAGTTAGCCCCCCCACTTTGACGGATTCACTTCAAACCAACGCCAATATTTAGCAAATTAATTGCAAATAATTGCAAATTGGTTTTTAGAATTTGCAAATCAAAATTGGAATTTTGGCGAATTTTTTTGCAAATTTGGTCAGCCCCCCCACTTTGTCCGATCCGTTCCAAACAAACGCCAATATTTAGCAAATTAATTGCAAATAATTGCAAATCGGTTTTTAGAATTTGCAAATCAAAATTGGAATTTTGACGAATTTTTTTGCAAATTTGGTCAGCCCCCCCACTTTGTCCGATCCGTTCCAAACAAACGCCAATATTTAGCAAATTAATTGCAAATAATTGCAAATTGGCTTTTAGAATTTGCAAATCAAAATTGGAATTTTGACGAATTTTTTTGCAAATTTGGTCAGCCCCCCCCACTTTGTCCGATCCGTTCCAAAAAAACGCCAATATTTAGCAAATTAATTGCAAATAATTGCAAATCGGTTTTTAGAATTTGCAAATCAAAATTGGAATTTTGGCGAATTTTTTTGCAAATTTGGTCAGCCCCCCCACTTTGTCCGATCCGTTCCAAACAAACGCCAATATTTAGCAAATTAATTGCAAATAATTGCAAATCGGTTTTTAGAATTTGCAAATCAAAATTGGAATTTTGGCGAATTTTTTTGCAAATTTGGTCAGCCCCCCACTTTGTCCGATCCGTTCCAAACAAACGCCTATATTTAGTAAATTAATTGCAAATAATTGCAAATCGGTTTTTAGAATTTGCAAATCAAAATTGTATTTTTCGTGCTTTACTTTTGCAAATAATTTTTTTTTTCCATAATTGTCTTTTATATTCCATCATATTTTTTTTATTCTACTTAGTTTTAATACACATAGATTAAAATAGAAATATAGAATAAGATTTTTTATCAAGTATAGATTTTTTTATAAATATTAATTTATTATTTTATGAAATACTAGCTGATCCCGTGCATTCCAAACCGGTGTCAATATTTTGCAAACTAAGTACTAAGTACTAAGTTTTTAAAAATATTTGCAACTATTTGCAGCCCCAAAAAATAAATTTTAACTAATTTAACTACATTTTTACTGTTTTTATAATATTTTTTATATTACATTATCATGTTTAAATGTTGACAACTTTTAATATTTTTTCAACAAAAAATAACAATTATTAATTATAATTCAAAATGTATTATTCTTATGCATAAGTCCATAGCGTCAGAACTTAGTTAGGCCTTCGGGCCAACGGCTCAACGCGACAACGCCATAAGAAAAAAACTAAAATTACAGGTAGGTCGGAATATTATAAATTATAATACTTAAGTACCACATAACGTATTATGTAATGTTCGACCGAATGTCTCCACGAAAATTCGTTATTCATGAAATATTTATCAGTTATACCTATAATAATATGTTAAATAAAATTAATTATTGATTTAAAATATATCATATTCTGATATTCATTACAGCGACTCAATGACGAGATATACCTACATACGATACTCACTATGCTTCAGAGCAATTTCCACGGTTTTTAACTTGTCATTTTAGAAGTAATGACAGTGTTTCAATAACCAGTTTAAAAAATATAGCCATGTGTTTTTTTTACAATATAAATGAATAAAACTATTAAACAAAATTATTATTTAAGATAGTGACTATATGGTAATTTCTTATCACGTTGCCTTGTCACTCGCGTGCTGTATTCTTTTGGGTTTTTCTATTTTTACGTAGTAGCTCGGGTGTCGTCGATTTGCGTTTACACAATAATATTATGTGGAGGACTTTACCCAATGAAAACAATATTATTTAGTTAAAATTACAGTGACTCTGTTCTCTTTTGAAGTCCAGTGCAGTCGCATGTTCCTATATTGTATTTAATTGTTAGTAGCTTGTGCATTGTGTTATTTTATTTGAACTTATTGCATCTTGTTAAAAATGGTAAGTATAGAAATATTTAAAGTTATTAAGAATAGTATGTACCTTTTATTAAAATAATATAATCAATGTATGATACAGCCATACAAGATATTCTTTTAAAACTAGCGTTTTCAAATTTTTGGGATTTTAATTTTTATATTATGATTTAAAGAAGTTGTTATACTTAGCTTGTTTATTATTTTTTATTTATTTTTTAAATATTCGTTTAGAGTTATTTTACAATCGGTACCTAGTACAATATATTTTTAAACGTTTGTACTTGTGAATAGGTAAGTATTAAATGTTAGCTTAATAGTAACAGTTCCTTATACAAAAAAAAATACAAACAAATTGTATGGTTTGATAAAAATATCAGCTATACTAAAAAACGGACCTAAAAGACTTATTTTTTCTAAGGACTAGGATCTTGTTATAATAATATAGTTGCCTAGGTATAAAGAGTTATTTTACTATACTGTAAACGTTTTTTTTTAGAGGTATAGACCGAATTAAACAACATAGGTAGGTACTGTATTATTTAATATAGTTACCTACTACCAGGGGTTAAAGTGGGGGGACGCAGGAGGACTCAGTCCCCCTACCTCTGACGGTGGTTAAAAAGCGTTCCCTTTAACAAATTAGGACTTTATACATTAGACATTATACATACAATTATATATGGAACGCTTAAAACTATATGGAGACATTAGTCCCCTCTGTAGTTTTTCCCCACTTTAACACGTACATGTCCCCAGCCCCACCCATTAAAAATTTTAACATTTTTTTTTCTCAACATTTAGAAGTCAATTAGCAACAATTTGCAAGACTATTTTCACAATTTGCAAGCCTTTAGATAAATCATAAAATAAAATAAACTAGGGGCCATATCATCGAAAACACATTTTTAAATTTTTCTTGAACCAACATTTAGCAGCCAATTAGCAACAATTTGCAAGGTAGTTGTTGAAATTTGCAAACCAATATTTCGTCCGTAATACGCATTTCCGAAATTTGCACATGTCGCCAGCCCCACCCCGTAACGATATAATGCGATTTTCGACTTGCGATTCCTTCAGATTTTTTTAAATAGCCAATTTAATATAAAATAGTTGGTGAATTTACTTTGCATTTCGAATTCCATCAGAACTTAATTCTTACAGCGCAAAAATGTACGAAAATTGGCAAATAAGAATCTACTATAGTAATAATAACTTTTTTTTAGTTAATTATATTTATATGTCTTAATTAATATTTTTACCTGACGACCATGATTATTTTAGTTACTTCATTACTGTATTTTGTTCACTACATTTTTTAACTTACATCCAAAGGCCATTATTATGTGAACTTAATATATATTTTGTCACGATATTTAGGTGATTATAGTACGTTCAATAATTACAACTCATTACCTTTTGCCTTTTATTAAAAAATTCATAGGTACCTTACTAGATAATAAGCTTAGATCGTTAATTTTTTTGACTTCCTGTTGGTTTTCATAATAAATATTATTAAGAGTCTATCTATAAATCAATTAAGATTTAATTAACGTTTTCATGATTATATTATTCACACAACCTTGTTTTTTGTAAAGTAGTAGGTACACAAATTAAATAATATTTCATTTCTTAATCTAAATAGTAAATACGTATGTCGTATATATATTTTTAAGTTAGGTATACGTTTATCATAAATTTATAACCATAATAATTATTTTTTAATGTCGTACACTCGTACTCGTATTAATACGGCTCGTGTGTAATCAAATGTTATTTTGGTAAATGTTTTTTTTCTTAGTGATTCTAAAAATAAAATATTGTCTATAAATGGACTAGACATTAATAACTGCTATAATACAGTTATCAATATTAATTATATATCGATGTTTAAATGTTTTGTAGAATAATAATTTTGGTGAAACAATCGTTTTAGAGTTATCAGTGATGTTTTCGATTTTTTGTAAACAATTATTTAAGAATTGTCACTTGTGATTAATTCCTTTTAATAGTCATATTCAGACATTCATTGTTTTTTCGCAATTACATCTTAATTTAAATTATCTGGGCGGTGTTCATATTTTGTGAAATATGAAAGGACGAAAGCCAGCTATTCCTTCGCATGTTGTTGTAGAAACAGTGCTCCAGTTTAAAGACAGAGTCATCATTACCGATAATGGTGAAAAAAGTAAGTGAAAAGTATTATTTTAAATAATTTAATTTACTATAATCGTACGTACGACATACCTCACTAGTAATTAATTTTCTTTTCTTATTTGGTGGGGTTTTTTTTAATTAATCAATTAAAATCGACAACAGCCCCGGGTGCCATTATTTTATCGGCGCCAAAACTTTATTGTCAGAAATTTGTTTGTATAATAATTTTAATTATTTTAATAACAGTATTATATAATATAATTTAGTATAATATTATTATATTATATATTATATATTATATAGTATTATGCTGTTTAAATTTTTTTTAAGTTTTTATTAAGTTGCAGTTTTATATAATTTTATTTTATTTATTCATAAAGTACTTACTTTAATATGTTACAAAAAAAACAACTTATATGATGAATTTTATTATAAGCAAGGTTTAAGTGACATAAATTAAAATGTATTTTTGCGCATAGAAGATCAAGGAATTACTAAACAATATTTTTAAAAAAAAGTACATATTGTAAAACAAATATTCTTTTCTGTGCTCAAAATCTAAAAGGTTAATGAGGATCTATCTCCCATATCTCCCATATGGATAGCAGGGCTTGAAACCGAAAAAAATTTTTCCGGTTTCGGTTTCGGTTTCGGATACCGGTTTTGATTTTTTCCGATTTCGGTTTCGGTTTCGGATACCGGTATTGACTTTTTTCGATTTCGGTTTCGGTTTCGGATACCGGTATCGATTTTTTCCGATTTCGGTTTCGGTTTCG